GATCCATACAATATCGCCAGACGGCCCCTGCCTCGCCCCCTTTTAAATTATGCCCTTTTGACAATGAATATGGAGTGGGATATTTCATATAACGTTTCACATGTGGCTTTTGCTCCTGATTGTTCGGCAAATCCTTGCGCTTCGGCAGGACCATTTCTGATTCAGTCAAGGCGATTTTACGCATCCGTTGAACACCAGCGCACAGGACGTTGCCTCACTACCAGGGGCAAATGCCACGTGGAACAGTTAAATTAAATTTTTTAGTATACGTTTAATGGCAAAGTGACCATTTTCAACCCGTTTACATGTCCTAGAAATACAAAACATTTATTCAGAGACTCCAGGTATTTGGAGTGGACACTTGCTTGGCCGGCGTAGCTAGAACTTGGCAAAGTGTATTGATGTGATGTTGGACAACACCCAACGTAACCCTGAACGTGACTGCCTGTACCACTCTTTTACGTCCGCTAATGCGTTCCCTTCATCTCCGCCCTGCCCTCAACCACTTGCGTGCGTTGTGTCAAGATCTACTACTCGCGCCTTTCGAGGCCAAGCGCTTCAGTAACTCTTTGTGGCTGCCACAGGAATCTAACGAGAGCAAGAAATGCGCTTACTCTAAATTCTCCGTAATGCATTGAGTTTTTGTCATTACTCCTCTGCTCCTGAATGCTTCCGACGTGGGTGAAAGGACACTAAGAGTTCTAGCATTGCGTGAAAGGTAGCGACGTTATGCACTAAAATTCACGTGATGGACCTCGAAGTCACAACGTCCTTCATAATGTTTTACCTTAGGTCTAAAGTAAGACTTTATACCTTCATAAACATACATCCCTGAAGGAGAGTCTAAGGTGACCTTACAAACTGCAAAATGGCCTATTAAAAACAGGAAACGTTGCGTTTTTCCAATACGGATAACTCGCATGCGAGAATGAATTATTAATCATTCGAGAAAAACAATTAATCCTTACCAACATCCACAACACTGACAAGAATTAATGGAACGTGTTAGAAATGTGGCGAGTAAGAAATTCGAGAAAAAGAACTTGAAATCATTCGTGTAAGGTTATGACCCACGCTCAATACGAACACTGTTTGAAGATATTCCCTACATTCCACAGCGGGCTAAAAGGCGAATCTAGGGGGAACTAGCCCCCCTTCCCAACATTTTAAAACCAACTTTTATTTTAGTAAATTTGATTACCAATGTAGGTAGAATGAGATTTCATAGTTGGTTTACTTTGCGGCTCACGTTTGCTTCTGTGGGAGCATACTTATGTTCAAGGAAGCGTTCAACGAGTTAGTCGCTCGGCAGATGTCCGAAGATCTAAACATGCTCAGTTCTAAAAGAAAGGTGAATGCGAAGTTCTTCGATATGGCAGTTGTTCAGTCAAGTATTATCTTCTGGCATTAACAATATGTTTATCCATCGCTCCTCTTAACATAAAACAAGCTGAAATAGGAGTGGCACGAGGGGTAAATTTTACCCTTTTCCAACTTTTAAGAAGATTTTCAATTATGTGGATTAATCGGTATTACAATAAAATATATGTCAATTCATTGCTGGGAATGTGTACTTTATGATGCATTGATTCTTACGTCCAACTACGTCCAAATAAGAAAATTATCTTTCATTTTAGATAATGGCGTGCGTCCTGTAGTCACCCACCGTGATCTGTTTCCCGTTGCGCGCAAAACATCTGAGCTACTTTTTTGTGAAGGACAGCACGCACAAAATCATTAAATCTGAAATTTGTCTCGCAACATTTGATACTGCTCGAATAGATTTCCAGTTAAACCAACTTAAACAAGAAACTCTTAAATACGATGAGCAAGTCAAAAATAGGAAAATTGTGCGTCG